TTTAACTTAAAAATTACCTAGTATACATATATTTTATATTTTAAGTTATACTATGGATAATTGGATTTAAGATTTATTTACTAGGTAATTTAAAAGTTTGGTATATGATGTTATTTATTTATGTTTCTATTGCCGAGTGGCAAAAAAAAACAAAAAACTTGATTAGCTGATGTACCTATAATGTGAACTGCATCAAGATTTTACAAAAAGAAGACAGAGAAAATTATTTTGAGTAATCCTTTTCTTTAAGTAATCAAATAGTTAAGTGACCCGCAATAATATATTGATGATTCTGAATGTTTTTTTTACGGGTATAGTTTGCAGAAGAGACACTTTCAAAGTGACTAAACCCCCTTGTAAACTTCCAAAATGAGAGAAATAAGAGTTTATTTATAAAACACTAGCTACTCTCACGCGGTTTCACCCGCTGCTCGGCTCCGTTTGATCGTAGCGTGATGTTTTATAGCCTATAGCACTCAGGAAAATTGTAGCTATCTATCAGTGAAAGAATTTTGGCAATCCGACCAGCGGTTCCAAAGATTATCCCCTACATACAAACTTACAAATTTTACGTCTTTATAATATTAGTATAGATGTTACTGCTAAAACATATTTCTTGTTGCTATGGGAACTAGTCCGACTCATATTATCTGGCCCGGTATTTTCCTTGATATTAAAAATAATTATTCTTACGTCACCCAATCCTAACAATGATGATCACACGAAGGGAAGTGTGATATCACTTCTTAGTAACTTATTTTATTACTAAAATCTGAGTAAGAGACTTCGGCTTCGGTTCAGTAGTTGTTCGTACGATTTTTAACCGACTTTAAATGTTTTGAGGAGGTTTCTCAATTCGAATGTACATATACGTATATGATTTTGTTATGTTATTCGCTGAGAACTTTATCATTTTTGACTTTGAATTTTTAATTTAATCATATGCGCGTAAACCCTATTTAAGTTGAAAAATAAAATATTTAAAGTTTCGTGTTTAAACAATATAATGTTCTAATGTATGCAAAATACTTTAATAGAGGTCGCTACGTGACTTAAGTATTGCACTTACCGCGTATCACAAATCTATGCTAAACTTTGGACTATTAATTGAGTTTTTCAACTTCGACTTCATTTCTAGTAGTAACGAAAGTTTTTTTTTTAAAGAAAATTTGTTACATTTTTAACGTGAATTTTTCGTTTTTTTTTAATAAGCCAGTACGTTTTTTAAAATAAATGTGTCGTTTATGGCCAGTTGTTAATGAGTTACTATTACAATTTTATGAGTAATATCAAAAAATCCAGTATTTTTGGTAGGGGATAGTAATCAGTTATTTGATCACTATACCCTCATTCTTTCGCCCACAGTAAGGCGAAAGGGAGTGTCAAATTCTCACTGTCTAATAATCCTTCCCTAATCCTTCTTCTGCTCCAGGCCTAGGCCACGGTATCGCTTGTATATTATTGTCAGTTAAAGGTTTATGGTGCGGAGTCTATAACCGAATGCCAATACAATGTAATCACCATTGATTTACACTGTATTGGCATTCGGCTCTTGATAATTTGGTACTTCTGCTCAATGAATTTAAGTCTAAAGAAGTTACGGTGAAGGAAAATTTCATGGACAAAGTTGAACTTACAATTGACAAGTTTCAAATCAGTAATCCGACTTGAGCAAGCGTGTTTTTTAATGACACTATCTTCATATTGGAAGAGGTGTGCACTTATGGTGTGATGAAGATGTATACTTAGTGAGTTTTTTTTGTATTTGATAAAGATACAAAAACAAATGTCAAAATATTTCTACGAAGTAAGTCAGTACCAAAACAAGTACTTGATACAATTAACCAAAGGTCAAGCGAATGTACACAACTCAATTACAATTAACTCCTAAATAAACCACAAGTTAACAAAGTTTACTTAAAGTTAACTTGAAGTTTGGTCTTCTGGTTTGTGTATATTTTAAGTATCACTGACCAGTAATCGCGCTCTAAGGTAATAAAACATGTATACTCTGCTGAAATTTGTTATAAGAGCCCAAGGTCAAGTTTATGGAGGTAAAGTTTGGATTTGTAAATAAAATGTTTATAGAAAAAAATCTAAATAATGCCATTTGAAAAATCAAGGGTTCTTGGAACTGTGTTACCTGAATTTGACTAACCTTCTAATAAATATTATTATTAATATAGTTAAAAGATGGGTAATTAAAATGAGGAATTATCTAGAACATTTTTCTATAAATAGTGTTAACAGGGCGCGGATTTCCAAAAATATTTTCATAATTCCAAAACCATGGAAACTTTGTCGGTCTTATCTTTTGCTATTAACCAATCTCAGCTAGATAATCAGAATGATAGCAACAAATTAATGTTTTTTGTACGTGATGGAACGGCAAACGGATTACCTGATGGTAAGCAATCAGCGCCGCCCATGGACACCCGCAACAACGGAGGAGTTAGTGCGCAACGCACTCGGCGTTGCGCACTAACTGTGGATTCGTTATTTGGAGCTAAAACCAGAGAGAGAACCACAAAGGTTAAGGAGGGATTGGGGTACCTCACATATCGGCAAAACACAACTTTGTGGCTGCTTCACGCCGGTTTTTTGTGAGGCAGTAGTATCACTTCGGTCGAACCGACCCATTCGTGCCGAACAGCAAAACAGCGTTTGTTTCGTCGAGTGAGTTAGGCTACTGGATGCGCTAACCTTTCCCTCCCCCAATCCTTACTGCAGCCCTTAAATCTCCAAAACCCTAATACCAAAAAGGCTAACAACCACATAACTCTTCAGGTGTTGATGTACGAGTGATGGTTTGTCGTCCTATCACACAAAACTGTTTACATGTTTATGAACATTAAAGATATCTTACTTAACCGATTGGGTTGTTGGGGAGACTCTAAAGCGCCTCATTCTTAGAACTATGAAATATTCCCTCGTTTCAGGGTAAATGCATGCACTTTGTGAACGTAGGATTACTGGTTGAAGGAGATCAGTTCCTAGAAACTTTTTAAAACTGTTTAAGCAGATGAAGTCAAGTTATGTATGCATGTATTGCATATCATAAACATAGATTCCCTTTAAATTTCGTAAAAGCTTTCTGAATTTAGGTGCTCTATTTTTTAACGTTACGTAAATTCTACTCTTATTTGTTTTTAGTAAATTAATTTTAGTGTCATTCAAATCAAACCAAATGACACAAAATAAGACTTATAGATTCGTTATGCCTGTCCAAAAATATACAAATTCACATACACATCACACCCAGACCCTGAACAACAATTTGAGTACCACACAAAGTGTTTTTCCGTGCGGGAATCGAACTCGCGACACGTTGCACAGCAGCCAGTTTTCCAGCTACTGCGTCAATCAAATTTTCAATTCTCAGTAATGTGTCTCCGACATAACATCTAAACATGGTTTCTGGGATTCCAAGTCTGATTAATGAGCGTGGGAATTGTGCGTTAATTAGTTGCGGTTTTTTATGAATATGTCGAAATCTTTGATCGGTCTGTAGAGATAACAAGTATTACTAGAATTGGATATTTAGATTTTAGTCAGCGAAGAGATAAACCAACTAAGTAGTCAACAGTTTTACCGTGCTGAACTACAAGCCGGATAAGCGCCAAGATGAACCATGGCCCTGGCTTACAATAGGAGAAAGAAAAGGGTAGTATTTAATCAATGACTCCTCTCTCTCTCTCCTGACGGGCGGGAGAAGTCATTGATTTTAAATATAAAAAAAAACAAAAGAGAAATGAAACGAAGTAACCATCGGTATTAAAGGAATCGAACATCCAGAACTAGGTATATAAACATATAAGGCAAGATAAAAAATGTATAGTATTTTTTCCTTAACTTTATTCCAACACACTGGCTGCAAAAACAACAATAAATACTTGAAACGAGACATCGAACACAACACATACAAAGAACTTCACAAGCCCACATCTATTGAAAAACCTCACAATAGATAACTCTGCAATGTACACAAAAATGACCTTGGGATGCTTCAAAAAGGCTGATGACCTTGAAACTTTAGTTTTAAATACACCCCGAGGGCACAGACTGGCTTGTATTTATAAGCACTTCTGAAAGGGGTATTTTGTTAGAGAAGGCCTTAAGATTATATAGAGCCCTTTTATCAAGATATAAGTACATTGCCTATTGATCCCTCAATTGTCCTTTTGTAGTATTAAGTTGAGAGATAAAATAAATGTTCAATACAATTCGTAGGTTTCGTTGCACCCTTGAGTTGAAATTAAAATATTAGGTTCATTTTGGCCTGTGTGTATTTAGCCAAGCCTTTGTATTTGCGCTTCGTTTATTTTATTTAATACATATTCTGTTTCGAAAAATAATAGTAACTTTTATTTATTTTCGTTCTATTTATTTTAAGAAGTTTATTTTACTTTTACGGCTACAATAACTGCGTAGTCACCTTTTTTTGGGGGGCAAAATCATTTTCTCTCGCCGTGGATGAGGCGCGTTAAGTGTCACAGAGACTCTTACTGCCTGGTCCGTTCTGGGACCACAGTACATTGAAATTGATAAGTGATGACTATGTAACTTATATAGTATATAACATTGATAAATAGCGACCCGCTCTAGCTTGCTGCGGCAATGCTGATAAATGTTTTCATCATCAGTATTGATATTACTAAACATATACTATAATATTCCTATTCATTCACCTTATCAATTAAAATGAACCACATCAAGTTCTGTTGGGCATGATTAAAAATTTAAGCATACATGGGGACAGTGAAAGCGGCATTCTTTTATACTGTGCGAAGGTCAGGAATTCAGGAAGACTAAATGAATGAAGGAGAGCATCACCAAATTGACTACAATTCCACAATTATTCAAGAATTTTCGCTTCCTCCCATTTATAATGGCGTGCCCTTGACCTCGAAAATATCGTGTTAATGACCTACGACCTTTTAGACAGTTGTCTGCTAGTTAATTGTTCGTATTAATAAACGGTTCCGTATTTAATATGGACAATGAGTGGCGAACAGAGGGTTGCCAGGGATCACTACAAAGGTCAGATACAAACTTTGTCTGTTGAAATATTGAGGGGTTTCGTTATAGGGACATATTACTTATAATATCTACTTAGTATCAATGTATTGTATGTACCGATTTGTTATTAAAAAGCTTTTAGATATATATATATATATACGCAAAAGAATGAAAATCAGTTTATTGGAATGGATAATTCAATTATCACTTTAGAATAAACATTATTTTAAGTACGGAGAATATTTAATCTTCTCGTGTTTTTTTTATGTAATAGGTCAGCACACGAGCAGACGGATTACCTGATAATAAGCAATCAGCGCCGCCCATGGACACTTGCAACGGAGTAGTTACAAGTGCGTTGCCGACCTTTTAGGGATAATAGATTTAAAGATTTAGGGATTAAGGAGGGATTGGGAGAGGGGAAGGATTGGGCCTCCGGTAACCTCACTCACACGGCGAAACACAACGCTGTGGTTGTTTCACGCCGGTTTTCTGTGAGGCCGTAGTATCACCTGGTCTGGTCGAGCCGACCCATTCGTGCCGAAGCATGGCTCTCCCACACTTTTGTTTAATGGAAAACAGAACTTACTCAAAAATAAGGGTATTGAAACATGAACCTTATTATTTAACATAATTTTTAAGATTCAAATATCTTCTTTTTTAATAAGGCATCTTTTCTATTGAGCAATATTATGCTATAGGTATAACTTACTGTTTCATTTGTTTCAGGGGTATGTTTGATAGAAAAAGTGAGTAAGAGAGAAACGACTGCGCTTACAGTAAAATCAAATGGCAAGAAGGCTTATGGATTGTATCAGGTAAACTGAATACTACTTTCACCGTTTTACTCAATGATATTATAAGTAAAAACGTGTAGATAGGTTACAAGCGCTCAGCAACTGATACATTAAAACATGGCTAACTAGCCACACTTTTTCATATTTGTCTCTTTTTCACTCGTGATTATTGAATCATGCCATCCCACTTTAACGTGTATCATACGATTTATTCATGTGTGCATAAGTGTGCCGGTTTCAAAATCGAATGTTGTTTATGTTGCCTATCTATGCCATTATACTTATAATATCATTGGTTTTACTACTTTTGTTAACGATGTCCGGACTTTCAAAGATGCAGGGTTTCATTTTAGTAATGAGCAAGCATTAGGCTGCTATCAGGCCTGGTGGAAAGCGATGATGCGACCTATGATGGAGCACGCCTAACTATAAGCAATATATTCGCTCGGGCCTTGAAGACACCCAGATACCCTTCGGAGAACATAGTCTTCGACAAAGAATTCCACTCCTTAGCGATTCAGATAATAAAACTGTAGGCGAATCGTGCGTGTGGGTGGAATAAGTGACCTCTGATATTTGATTGATTATTAAGTCTGTCTACTACAAACATTATATGTTAACATTAATCATTATTGCAATTGCAAGAAAATAATACTGTAAATGATATACTATAAAACATAAATAATTATAAGAAATTTTACCTTTCAGCAACACGTTTCTTAAGAATTAATTTATTTTCAGATACCCAGTGAGTGGTGTAAAGAAGGCAAACGCGGTGGACGCTGTAATATAAAATGTGAAGGTGAGAATAAAATAATCACTACAACTCAAAACTTAAGGTTTAATAACACAGTGAATTGCTTTTACAAATTTTCACTTAAATACATAAGAGGAGGTGCAATGGTCGAACACCGTGGGAGCGGATCTCGAAGCAAAGGTAGCTCACCGTCTGATCAGAACCAGACCGGAGCAAAGAGCAAGTAGCGTAAGATAAGATAGCTCAGAGATTGAATAGACCACCACAAACGAGGCATAATAGGGCCGATGTTCAGCCGGGGCTGCGGGGTCAGTAAAAGGTTGAGACTCCCTGTCGTCCTACCTAGGGCAGGAGAAGTAACTTGATGATGTTCACCCTCAAAAAAAAAAAAAACAAATACTCGTACTTTCGTCAGGTCCAAACGCGTCATTGAATTAAGTGAAAAAAATCTCAAATTAAAAGCAATATTCAAATTATGGCAAAGAGAGAGTTCGTAAAATGTCTATGTATAGGCAATATTCATTAAATACTGTGTTAAAACTAAACTATTTGAAAACCATAATATTATAGCAGAAATATACTACAATTTTCTTTATTATGAAAGTTGCAATGTTTGCAACAATAATTTCATATACAAAGTAAGTGATCGTGTAAGCCATGATTACAGTGTAGCAAATTGTCAACGATGTAGCAAACATTTCGAAGCATCTAGAATTTATGGAGCACGTTCCGCATCAAAACTTTATGGGCATCGGTCAAAGTATTGTTTGACGTTTTGGTTATGATCTTTAACTTTTGTGTGGTACTAATGATCTTTGGAAACCGTGTAGTGAATACAAAGTAGAATTAATTGGTCACTACCCTTCCCTTATTGTGGGTGTTCTGACAACGCACTAAGGAACTGCTTGAAAGAGACTGATAAACATGGCCCCTTTTTGTGAGGACAAAATCATGAAATGACTTCTCTCGCCCAGGACACTTACTGGCGAAGGACCCCCCGTTCCTTCTCTTACTTTAGACCGAAGTCGCGGTACCTTATATCCATATTCTTATGACGATACCCTCTCATGGTGAAAAGTAGAAGGGGCCCCAACTTTCAGTAGTGTTTATCGGCTTTTCTTCTATATAACTTGTTTTCATTTTTTATCTTAGATTTCTTCGTGTAGTTTTTCACTTTTAAAGATCAGCATTTTCCAATTTTTCTATTAGCAGAAAGGTCAAGAGAGCGAATAACTTCGTCTTCATCTTTATGAAATTCAAGTCCACTTGAAACGTTTTCATATTTCTGATTTTAAGAACTTGAATTTGTTGACCTACTTATGTTTAATAGGTATGTTTTCTGCTTTCTATGTTACTAATGTTAGGTCCTAAGTCATTTCTAGAGAGAAATTGCCAATATAATCGCAAAATGAATGATTATTGGATTTTTTTACTGTGGCAATGATTAATGTAACTGGATTGAAAGTCAAGGGAAGTACAAAATAAAAAAATCATGTTAATTTCGGTTTAAATTTTATAAAGTTATTTATATTTGGCTGCTATTGACTTTAATAATAAAAAAAATCCCCCTACATGATTCTCGTCGATGGCCCTTTCTATATGAACATGATTTTTGTCAGTTTTGCACAATCCTCAATCATTTGAATTTTTTTTAGAATTTTTTCTTTGATTCCAAAAATGAAAAATATAAATGTCTGGGGTATAAACTTATGAATTGGTAGAAGTAATTCTCGCTTTTCATCTAAAAATACATAACAGATTATTCTCCCTAACTCAATTTTTGAACTCCAGACAACAGCTCATATGTTATAATATTGTCTCATGCTTTTAAACCAACATGGTAACGAAAATTTCCTTTGTTCTCATAAAAGGAGGACGGCAACAAAAGCTTAAGTACCTATTTGTATTACGTAGGTAATTTCACCAACATAAAGACGGAACGGCCTTATTTTTTAGAGGTTGGCACTTCTTCAAAATATGGCTAGGGGATCTCGCTTATCGTGAGGTTGTAAATCAAAGTGGCGTCGCAAAACACGCTCTGATACTCGAAAGTTTCGATTCATATCGAGTATGTGAGTGATATCGAAATCCTATGGTAGGTCCCGCGTTATCTTTGTACCACTCGAGTGGAAATATTAAAGTAGGAAAGTATAAATCAGGATTCTGTAGTGGCGGGAAGTTAAGCAACATTTTTACGAGCATTACTCTACTTTATTTGATTTCGTAAGCTTTCGGATTTCTATTATGAAGATTTTGTTACTAAATGTTTTTGTAACATTGTGGTTGAGTGTATGAATACTTTTGCGTAGGAATTGTGTGATTGAAAAATTTGGAAAGATGTCAAATGTTATTCGGTTTACTAAGAAGGTCAGACTTCAGATGATTTTCTGTAAAATTGGGTTGTATGTGAATTTGTTATGCTAAAAACTATTATATTTTAGAAAATAGTAAAATGTAAGTACTGATTTATGAATAGTCATTATCGTAAGACATACAACATTTAGTTATGGTAATAGCCTAAAAAGCCCTCTACTAGTGTCAAGTCATAACGGGATTCTTATTAAACGGTTTTATTTAGCTCACCCCGTTTATTTGAAGGTGAAGTTGCGTCGCCTCTGCAATTGTACGCCACTGATCTCAGTCTTCAGTTCTTTTCATCCAGCCACTGTCAGTTGCCTATAATCTGCCGTATATTGTAAATAATAAGTTTAAATATTCCAAACAAAAGAAACACCTATCTATCTTGTTTTAAAACTCCGCATCATCATTTCTACTAAATCGGTTAAAAGACTGATTATGATGAAATACGCGGTAATAGCATTCGAGCAACACATTATTTCAATTTATCTGTTTACGAAGTAAATTAATGAATCTCATTAGTTTATCTCTCGTTCCACACGCGCGTGCATAGATTGATAGATTTATCAAGTTTCCATAGAATAGGTATTTGTAATGATAACTGGCAACGTGTTTCTGTTTTAATTAATAATTTTGTGGATATTTGGGATTGTACTTTAGGATATTAATAATATTTTTTTCTCGAGTTTTATATATGAATTAGAATTTACAGACGAATTACTTGATGATTAGCAATCAGCGCCATCCCTCGAAACCCCATCAATTTTAGACGATGATTGGAACAACTTACTGGCTAAAAACAACCCTTTTTCTTCTCCTGCTCCAGCCCAAGACTGATGAACCTTATTACGCTTGCCCCGTAATCTCAGCTGACCATCAATCCCATTGAGCTCGATCTGTGATGAGTCCATCATCAAACTCAAATCTCCACACAGTCTGTGTGGAGATTTGAGCCGCGACTGGAACACTATGCGTCGCTTGGATCAGAGGAATTATCAGTGCAAGCGCAATAATCCATTGAAGTTCATTAGGCTCAGAGCTGGAGAAAGCACAAGAAAAGAGGAAAAGAGGAATATTTTCCAAAAATCTTGGTATATCAAGTAATTCATAATCGCTATTACCAACCCCTGTGGCAGTCCATTGAAATAGTACACTCCTCTTACACTTATAGAGACACAAGAGCGATTTGATAGGATATCGCTCAGTCAGCTCTTGCGGCATCCACAGAAATGGAAGACAAAAATAATTTTAATCCTCATCTTATTCCAAACACAGCTCTGCTAGACGATGACATCCGTGATGACACAGCATGCGCCTTGAAGATCATGGAGGAACACGGCTTCCAGTACTGGTCCCTGTGGACTACGAGGTGCAAGAACGATAACTTCATTACCAATGAGATTTATAAGTAAGTTAATGTGATTTTTAATCTATACTAAGATTATAAAGAGGTAAAATTTGTAAGTTTGTATGTGGGAGGTAATTTTGGAACCGTTAGTCGGATTTCCAATGTTCTATCCTGTATGTGTTCTTCACTGATAGATAGCTACAATGCTCCATAGTGCTATAAACATCACCCTACGTCCAATGGGAGCCGAGCAGCGGGTGAAACCGTGTAGCAATAGCTAGTTTTTAATATACCTTCACCAATCATGGTTTTAATTCCTAGTCTTGGATAACTTAGATACATAGGTAGATATACTATCCGAAGTTGACGAGGTTTTAGATCATTGATCGAGTGATTTTAGAATAGTAGAAAGCCTCTGATTTCTGGCTTGGTCACTTTCTTCACTTAAAGTTGCTTTTGATAGTCAAGACAAGGCAAGACAAGGCTTCACTGTAGAACAAGAAGGAGTTTTAAAAAACTAATATTGACACAATCTTAGCTTAGAACATAAGAAATACTATTTTTGATAGCTGATTCCTATTTCTGGTGTTAAATTTATTTATCAAACAAAATAGTTATATTTTATAGTAATTTGTATAACAAAATCTTGTAACTTAAAAAATACTTTTTAAGAACTTAAAAATACATCAAATTCATATCAAGTATAAGTACTAAGTACATCAAATTGATCCGCACTTTAAACATTTTATTTACAATTAATTGTATTTGTTTTTAGTCGCCATATCATGTTTGTTTCTGCACTGCCAAACCTTTTAACACCGCCTCATAAAAGTCACTTTAGCTCCGGTGATAATATAAATAGTTCTTACAACATTATTTCTGTTTTCTACCCGTGAGAGAGATCCCTTCCCTATTTGTTCAGGCCACGATTTAAAGGACACTTTATTTCCATAAAAGGTTAAGCGTCCCTTTTTCAGAGCTTATGGAAATGTAATCTTAAAATCGGTTTCTAGCCATTTAGTTTCGATAAAATTATGGAAATCATCTTTTTGAAGTGTACATTTTAATATTGATGTACTATTTAATTTGAACAGTTTCTGTTTCGGTTGATATTTGTTTTCCTCTATCAGGATAATATTTTTTCTTGTGTGAAAGTGACCTTAACAATAAAAATAGTATCCCAAACATCGATCACTAATAAAGAACTAGATACACAATCAGTGACAACAAAATGTCCTAACTGAAAGTCCACCAAACTCAACATCGCGGTGTAGTTTTAGTTTAGTACCACTCGAATGCTCCGACGGTAAACACGCCTCAGTGCTCGTTAAAAAAATGCAAAAAACACACATCTAAGATGCAAAAAAGGATGGAATTTCATATTTTCGTTAAGTAATAATATTATCATTATATAATTGTCATCATTCTATTTTAAATATTGATATTTTATTAAGAAATCAACTTTAAAACTTTTTCCAAATGAAATCGTATTCAAAAACCGGGGTTATAATGCACACATTTTATAAAGACACTTATACTAAACTTAAAATCATTCTCTAGCATGACCACTTAAGTTGTTCGATTTACGTGGATTGATTCTGTTCCGTTTAGTCGAGACGCTATTGTTTCTAATTTTATTTATTGATTTTTTTATTAAAAAATAGTTTTTATTTAATATTATACGTCTTTACTGTGTTTATTAAAATATGGAATAGGCATATGTAATGGATTTAATTTTAACTGCAGTAAAGAATTTTTTTTTTTAGCTTTCATCTAGACCCTTGCGTTATGAAAAATTGACAACAATAACGCCAACATTTTCAGTACTTACTTTAGATATATATTCTTTTTATTATTTTACATCTTTTTTATTTGACTTCGAATAGAAAGGATTAAGGAGGACGAAAATAATAAAAAAGAATTATAACTATATGCATTAGTTTCATTGGTAAATAAATGAACAAACCTATAGAAAAGAATACTATAAGTAATGCGTTTTAATTTGCGTATTTTCTTTTTTTGATAAATTATAAAATACGAAAGAAATATATTTTTTCCAAGACATTTCGACTTCAATCATTCTTTGTCCTAGCGGTGAGCCGAAGTCGTTAAATTTTATTGCTTATTTTTGACACTTTGTAAATTCGACTTAAAAACATGCGAATATGGTTCAATTTTTTATGATTTATGTTTGTCAAGAGCTTCGGTCGCAAAAAGTATTAAGATTTTGTACATCACTTTGTAAAAACAACTCTATGAGTTGCATTTAAGGTTTAATTTACATTAATGCATGTTTATTTCAAGTATAAGTACCTAAATACAGTTGGCGACAGTTTTGAAGCGAACTTTTGTATGGGATTGTGTATCTAGTTCTTTATTAGTGATCGATGATCCCAAAGAATTTTTGCTAGAACTTGCAATCCGACAATACGAGCATAATATCTCATAGCTAAGAGCATTTCATTTTATCTATATTTTATTGTAGTTCCGCAATTGAGACCCATTCGTTCCATATTCCCAATCTGTTAATCCCGAAACCTCAAATCCGCAAAAGATCAATCTCTGGTTTTGCAGGTGTATAAATACAGCGCTGACCACAGATAATCAGTCTGATCAATTGCCAACATAACCTAAAATCTCTAGTTTGGGTAAGCAACAGCTTTGCTTTTTTTGTCATAGGCAAATGAGCAGATGTACTACCTGTTGGTAAGCAATCAGCGCCACTCATGGACACCTGTTATACCAACTGAGTTACTACGAGTGCATTGCCAGCCTCTTGTGGGTTATTAGGGATTTAAGCATCAAAGGTTATTGTAAAATAATCTTCAAAACCTCACTCCCACGTTATAGATAAAACTAACAAGATACAAAATAAAAATACATTTAATAATAGGGCTATAAAAACTAATAAGTCTGACTTTTTACAGATGCCCAGATTTAAACAGGCTGAGTCCAGAACGCAGTCTATTTCAATACCGCGGTCCAGCACTAAGACGAAGGCGTTCGATCAACAGAACTATCCGAAAATCCAGGTTGATAAGATCTAGGCGTACAAATTCAGTTAAATTGTTTGTTGATGTTTAAAATAAACGTGTTTCAAAGTCTTGCTTGTTATTTACTTGGCACTTTACTGGAACCGGTGGAATACTAAGTATTGTCAGGCAAACGTTTGTAACCTGTTCAAGTTGATTGACAAGGTGACGGAATTTCTTGCTCTATTGTTCTTTGTAGCCGCTTATATTTAGGATAACGAATAGCCATTTTTTATATACTTATTTATATTAAAACAGTTAGAATGTATTTTTTTAAAAGAGCCTTAAGGATTTATTCAATTAAAAATAAAACATAATTAAAATACAAAGTAATTTTAGACACTTTGATTTTTGAGTTTAAGGTAAGATAGAAGTAGTACTTTGTTATTTAGTGGACAATTACATTGTGTATGCAACTTTTTTTATGTGATACGACGGCCAACGAGCACTCGGACTACATGATGGTAAGCAATCAGGGCCGCTCATGAACATCCGCAACCATAGAAGAGTTACGAGTGCGTTGCCGACCGTTTAGGGATTAGGTAGGGATTGGATGAGGGGAAGGATCCGGTAAGTCCCTCCCTATTCGATGGACCCAAGGCGGAGGCGTGCGCGGATGTCGGCGGGCGCCTCTTAGGTGATGCACGGTGTACTTAAATACCTCATTAGGAGGATGACGAGGGAGGATGCAGGAGACGAGGCCCGGACTGAGTAGGCCAGAAACAGTGTGGGATTGCGGAAGAATGTGGTTCTGGTGAAGAAACAATGCGCGTGTGCGAGGAGACACCGGAGTGGTTTTAGCCGGAAAGATACCCCTCCGCCTTTTCCTAGGAGGAGGAAGCCCATGAGGAATTTCGCCCGGTAAAAAAAGGGGAAGAATCTGGTAATCCCATTCACATGGCAAAGTACAACGCTATGGTTCTTACAAGCCGGTTTCTTATGAGGCCAAGTTATTATTAGCCGATCCATTCTTGCCGAAGCATGGCTCTCCTACACTTAAACGGGGACGATATTTAAGTCATCAAACCTACAAACCTACAAATTCTTCAAACCTACCTACCTACCTACCACTAAAACAGATCCCGAATCGAAATAAACACTAAACATTCCAACGCCAGTTTCCACAAACTTCTATTTATCAAGAGGCCTCTTTTAACTCTGAAATACGAGTACTCCCAACTCCAACTCCGTCTACAACAAAACCTGGGAACCTGGACTAACGGGTTTACTTTTTAAACTATTCGTTTTGTTTCGCTGAGAAAATATCAAATAGTTCACTTGCTTAAAGTCTACTATTTGTTTTCAACGCTGCAAACGAAAGCTTCACTGAAATCGCTGTGTTCATTGGAGAAAATATGCATTAATATAAATATGAAACGTTTTACTTTTTCTTGTAGTGGAAATGATGATACATGTTTTTATGTTTAAATTTTCATTTGTTCATGTGTTTCAATGAATTGAAAGTTTAATTTTTATATTCTGTTAGTAAACTTGTTGAGATTTTTTTATTAGTAACTAGCGACCCACCCGGACTTGGTACGGGTTCAATCTTTTTTTATTATTCAGACTCTTAATGACAAAAAAAACCCTCGTTTCCTCTCCTGCCCAGGGCCGAGGTCGCGGTGCTGAGTAGGCCAGAAACAGTGTGGGATTGCGGAAGAATGTGGTTCTGGTGAAGAAACAATGCGCGTGTGCGAGGAGACACCGGAGTGGTTTTAGCCGGAAAGATACCCCTCCGCCTTTTCCTAGGAGGAGGAAGCCCATGAGGAATTTCGCCCGGTAAAAAAAGGGGAAGAATCTGGTAATCCCATTCACATGGCAAAGTACAACGCTATGGTTCTTACAAGCCGGTTTCTTATGAGGCCAAGTTATTATTAGCCGATCCATTCTTGCCGAAGCATGGCTCTCCTACACTTAAACGGGGACGATATCTCGTTTCCTCTCCTGCCCAGGGCCGAGGTCGCGGTGCCTCATTGCGCTTACCCCGTAACCCCGGCTGAACATCTGCCCTACAGGGCCCCGTATGTG